GACACTGTTGAATATCTCTAAATCGATCACGCGATCGATTTCAACTTTTCAGATGTACGAATAATAATCACAAAAAACATCACTTAAACACGTGACAGTAGCGTTGTATGCCTCGAAATATCAGTCTAATAATTTCGTATTCATTGGAGTTTCACCCTAGTGATATGAAAAATACTAGTGAAAAACATATTTCCCATTTCACTTCGCGAAAAGGGATCATAACGGAATTGTATCACATTAATTTGAAGGTAGGATACTAAATCGATCACGTGATCGATTTCTCACCTGGAGCACAAACTTCGATTCGAGTTGTTTACTTTGGACCAAATAAGGTGAGAGTTCATCAGTAGCATCAGTAGAACTCGTCGCGCCTGAATAGTGTTCCCTCATCGGACCTATTCCGTATCTTTATTACACTACCTTTGGATATGTCCCGGGGGCAATTACCCAACTGGTGAGTTTCACCAAATCCCCAGGTATAGAAATCCCCACTATTCGAGCATGCAAGTGCCTAAAAACACCCCACCCCGGGATCGAACCCGGGACCTTTCGATTACCAGCCTACATGTGAGCCGCCTGCGGCAATATGTCTAATACTTGTCAACTTAAGTTTCGTCGGGATCGTCACATCATCGCTTCCACCTCCCAATCCAGAGTAATCACGTCGACCCCACGTAAATCTACCGCGTTGAGGAAATGCAAGATGGCTCAAGATTTCAAGATTCCCCATTCCTACACTTCTCCCCCGTCCGTCAACGCCACGCTATGGAAGCTTCCTCCCACTATTTCCTTCACACTCGTTCCCAACTTATCCGTAGATAAACTGCTAATCTCTACTGGATAACCTACAACATACCAAACTACACACAAATTTTGCCGAAAAATTGCATTTTTCCTCAATTTTTTTCCGCCACCAAAATATCATCCCCATTACGGATAGGTTCAGCCGTAGTTTTGCCCAACCCGAGTTGAGCAAAATTATTCAACCCGCATCCAAACACTCTTCCTTCGTCGGTCGCGAGGAAAGTACCTACACTGGAAAAATACGACCAAAAATTTTCAAAAAAAATATTTTCCGAATATCTTTCTCATACGTAATCCGAATAATACACTACCAGAAAATTCCATTTTACATTTTTTCAATACCGCTCGAATCACAAATCCTCATTACAATTGGCAGATGTGAATATGTGTTCGAGAGCCCCTTGTTCCTTCTTATTCCAACTGATGGGATGTGGGTGCAGCTTATACGATGTGGCTCTCTTCGCACGTCTCGTATGCTTCAACAGGACAGCCTCCTCTTCTAACAATCCAAACACCCCGGTTCGATCCCTGCACCCGTCATCATCTACACTACCCGTCAGATTCTCATCTCCGCTTCCTCCATGCCCAAG